TGATGGTTGGCAGTCCAGTTTTTGTGACCAACGTTACAGAATCTTTCATTTGGAACCCAAAGATGGCCAATTTCAACCTGCGACAAGATTGCAGAAACTTTAAAGTCTCATAGCGCTTTGCGTGTTTTCAAGTCTCATTCCCCTTGTGTCATCCAGGCTGTGATTTTTTTCTCAGGATGTAAATGTCATGCTGTGAAGCTAGAACTTTCCACCCTCTCTAAAGTGCTACCAAAGGAATAATTTGCCAAATTGAAAATTATAGAGACAATTTCCAGTGTGCCACATCTTTATGATATGTTAGATTATTTTGAAAACAAGTCTATAATTTCATCTTATGTTACTGTGAATTTCATTATGCTTATTTTTTTTTTTCTCGTGCTACCTACTTCTAAAGGCTGGAGAGAATCATAGACAAAACACTGACATTTGACCGTGTTTGTCAATATACTTCTTAGTTATTTAATTGACTCTTGAAATATATTCTGCTTTGAAAACGCAGAGTTTTTGGACAAAGCATAGTTTAGTATTGCTCTGGGAATTTCAGTAACCGTTTTCACTGTTCTCACAGTGACTGTTCTTGACACTGTGGCTGGCAGGACCGTTGGAGTGTGGGTTATTAACACAGCGGAAGGTCTCATAGTGTGCGGTTCAGGTTAGCGAGGCAGGTCGGTGGGTACAGCCCGCTTCCATTTTCCCAGTATGTTTGACTGGAGCGGCTTTTGTGCTTTTAAATAATCTATTTGGTTGGCCTTTTCTCCCTTCTTTAACGGCGCAGTTCCACACAAGACTCACCTTGAGCTCACCATTGCCGAGTGGAAAGGAGCGGCAGGTGTTATAAACACGTCTGCTGCCACTCGGTCTTGGCCTGGACCAGGCTTTGTGATGGATTCTGTGGCTTTGGCTCTGTCCAGTGCAGCTCCCCTCCCCGCAGACCCGGCCCAGAGTCCTCTGTTGCCTTAACTTTTTCTTCTCTGGTTTTTCTCCCTCTCACCTGCTTTAGCATATAGCCCGGTAACGATAGTGAGAAAGAAGAATATATCCTAGTGGGTGATCAGTTGAAGTAACAACTGAATTTCTCTTCTCTATTTAAAAAAAAAAAGAACTTTAAAATTTTATCACTTTCTATGCTAAATGCTTGTTGAAATGACACAATGAAATAATTGGCAAGAACCAGCTTTCCCTAATTAAATCTTTCACTGTGAGTGTTATCTGGGAGAAGAACAATTTTTTTTTCTTTTAATTATTTCTGATATTTTAGGAAAAATTAAGGCAGGAGGATATGGGATAATTAGTTTTCCTTTGTAATCAGAATTCATTGCTGTGGCACTCAGATGGAGTGGTCTCCTAGAGTGAGAGGCTGCTAGTTGTCTGCCAGTTTCAGTTTGCTCCATCTTTCATGTTAATAAAACCCTCCATTTTAGCTGGCACATGGTCACCTGGAATACAGATTGCATTTCCTTGCCTCCCTTGCAACTAGGCATCACTGTATTACAAAATTTTGATTTATTGCTTATTATTGGAAGTGTCACGTACAACTTCTTTGGAAGTTCCCTAAAGGAGGGAGTCTTTTATTTATTTGTTTTTGCCCTTTCCCTCTCCCTGAAAGGAATGCAGATGTGATGACTAAGTTCAGGCAGCCATTTTGGACTGTGAGGTAGGAGGCATGCTTTGAGGATATTTGAGCAACAAGATACCAGAACCTTTGGATTGCCTGTATTTACATGAGTGAGAAACTCCTGTTTTGGGTAACCCCTGTTATTTGTGGTTTGCTTTCACATGAAGCTGATTGTCTTAACAGGTAGATCTGTGAATCCATTTCATCTTGTTTGGTATGAGGGCAGCTCTTTGAGATTTATTTTTTTTTAAATGTCAGACTGTATACCTCAGAAGTAAAGGAATGCTTTATTTGGTGGGCAAGAAACTCTTTAATAAGTAAAAATGTATGAGATGTTTTGCAGTGTCTAAAATCTTAAATGTTGTGGAAAGGCACCATTATGACTCTTTCAGAAACCATAAAATGCTCATCTTCCATTTTGCCTTTCTCTTCTCCCTTCCCTAGTTCAGTCCTAAAGCCGGTAAGTGGGACAGAAAAAGTGGGTGTCCAGTGTTTAGGGGGCATGGTGGCCTAGAGCAGGGTGTGGGAACCTGAGTGGGTTGAGGAGAGCACTGTGCAGGGTGGGGAGCCGGGCTTGGGAGGTCCAAGGCCAGGCAGGGTGAGGAGTATGGGGACAGATGAGGAGGGTGAGTCTGAGCAGAGTGCGAAGGTGTCCAGGTGGGAGGGAGGAGTGGAGAGGGGA